ATAGTGAATTGCATGTTTTTCTTTACTTTGTGATTGCATGCTTGAATTGAATGAGTTTGGTGAATGTGTTTTTGACATAGTAGATGAACAATCAATCAAATTATTTTCTGTAGATTGAACTTTATGGCAATATTTGTTAGTCAAATTATTTTCCGCGGGTGGTTATGCTAAAGCATAATAACTGGAGTCACGTGATTAGAAAGTAATTAAACATCTTTTTTGCAGGTGCTCGATATGGCATCCTTATGCCCCGACATATAAACGCAATTAAGTAGGAAAAGGGGCTTGGCGCTCAAGAGTGCTAAAGTCCATATGCATTACTTTATTTGTGTTTATGCTTTGCCTGTAAATTACTATGTTATCATCTATTTTATCTATTTTATTAAACTTTTCTTTTTTACATCTATTTCTTAGAACAAGGTTACGGCCCGTGGGGGCATGGGCATGGTATGAACGAGAATAAACCGATACTCAATGATGCCTGAGGACTCAAACCACGACAATGATGAAAGGAGAACCCACCATTGGAGTGCGAAAAAAATGTGTGAGCCAACGTAGTTCTAGGGATAGTCCGGGTTGTATATGGTCAGAATCTTGGCTGCACCTTTTACTTTTCTTCAATGGTATACCACAGTATTTCACCACACTAATCTTTTTTCTTTCTTGTGCACTTACATGCGTTCTTTACTAACGTGCGCAATAGAACTGACATGCTTTTCATAGATTTCTTTCTATGATTTAGTACTTAGGTTAGATAGAATTTGTTAGACTCTTAGGATAAAATAATTTTTTACCCAACGCAAACAATTTTAATCTAAATTAAATCAACTCATAGTAAAAAAAAAGAATTTAAAACTCAAAACCTAATAAAACTTTCACATATTACACCTTAGTTTGCTTTTGCATGCATTTAATTACTAAACAACTTGAATAAAACTCAAATAAAAAGTAACGAATAGAAAAATCATACGCATAAACAAATATCCTATTGTTGCTTCTGTTCCTTCCCCTTGGGTTTTTTGTCCATTGAATGGAAGGGAAGATCCAACCGATGAGGATCACTATCTTTAAGGGGTAAAAAAATCTTTCGTACTTAGCTTGGCTTTAAAACTTCCTATGCATTCATCATATAAGGATTGTATACTCCTTTACGACATACACTGTACAGTTAGAGTCTCACTAAAAAATCTAATTAATCAAAACTTTTCTTGACCAATCGCATATGATGGGTCAAATCTATTATTTTTAAGTTGACATCATATCGAAAAGATAAAAAAATTAATAATTTAAAAATGTCAAAAAAATTTTGCATTAACTAGGAACATATATTTGCCCGGGTCACTCGATCTTTAGAATCAAGCCGTAAGTCCCAACACATCTCTTCTAAATTATACAATTTACCACTATTAATTTGTATATGACTGTCATCATAGTTTTAAAGCGTAGGTGTTAGCTGGCAACCCTTTTCAGATGGGTTTTAAGAGCTTTGCCCCCTCAATGGGAGTGAAATCCATTAGTCCCTCCTTTTTAGAGTAGATTCAAGTCTCTAATTTATCAGTAGAACTCACTTTAGTTTATTTTCTAAGGAGGTCTCATTGGCCTTGCCGCAAAACTAACTTTTATGCTTTTCGATAGTCTGTTCCATCGATATAAATCCTCACTTTCTAAAAGTTGATCAAGTTGAACCAAATATCATTTCAATTTCAAAAATGTAAAACCCAGTCATAGAATAGACAAATCGTATAGTCTCCCATGATCCAGAGCTCCTTGCTTTTCATCCATTAGCTTACAACAACAAGTATTTCAAGTCGAGTCATTCTCATTTGAAATTACAATGAGTGGTCATGAAATCTATTGATGTGATATGCAGCAATGAAATGTAATTATTTTCAACAAGTTATTCTCTTCAAGGATGAAATTAACTAAAAAAACTTATCTAGTTAGCCATATTAGATACAAAAGTAAAACAAACCCTATCATTTTAGGACAAAGGAAATACTTCTAATACGTAACCCCTCTGAGTAATGAAACAATCACCTCACGATGGAATCCATTGAAGGGTAGTAATTTCATCGCTCGGGGTGATATACTATTTTTCTGATGTCATATTCGATCACAAGTAAAAAATTTTAAAACTCCTATAAGTGGTACCCCACAGTGCAGACACCAGGGAAAAAATTTCTATATAAAATATGATACTTTTAAATTAAAGATTATATTGATGCAGACTGTAATAAAACACTAGTGATTAGACGATTCACTTTAGGATATTGTATGTAATTAGAAAATCTCATAATCTAAAGAAGCAAGAAGCAACTTTGTATATTAAGATCTAGCATTGAATATGAATTCAATACAATTTCCCAAGGAATCTGCGTGCTTTATGAATCAAGATCAATGCTAGAAAACTTAAATGTAAGTAAAAAATCTTATAAAGATATACAGTGAAAATAAATGTCAGAAATATTGCTCATTATCAAATACAACATGGTCAAACCAATATGTGAAAGTAAATATAGACATTTTATGGAAAAAAACAAAGAAAGCGTATTGATTTATACTCCATATGCATCAACAGAAAAATAACTTGTTAACATATTCACCAAAGGGCCCAACAACCCCATATTCAAGAATATTATAAGCAAAATTAAAATGATAGATCTCTCCGTTCAATTTGAAAGGGAGTGTTGAAGTCATCTAATCTAGAAAGGCCAATAAAAGAGCTAGTTAAGAAAATCTAGAGGTCACGGATTCATTTCTTAGAAGGAAATAACTCTATCATGAACTCATAAACAAAAAGAGGAAAAAAGTGCTCATGGTTTGCTCCTTAACGTCGATCAACAATCCCTAAATTATCAAATGAAGAATAGCTAAGCATGATCTTTGATTTTATTATTGTATTATTTATTTCCTTTTTCTCTTCGCGTAGTTTTGTATATAAATGCTCATTGCTGAACAATCCAACCTTTCCTAATGGAATCTATTCAAATGGTTCAGTTTAATGGTTAAATGGTTTGATCTCACTTTTGTAATATTGAAGCTCAATTCATTTCAAACTAGCTCCAAACCCAACAATGCATACTTTAAACTCAGTAAATGGGCTCGCTAACACATTGGCATAACTTCTATTCAAGATGTCAACTCAATGAAACCGTTGTTTTTCAATTTTTCGAAGGACAAACCAATATCATATTCCTGTTGAAATGGTATACCCAATTGATAGAAGGGAATGAGTGTGACAAACCTATCCTGAAAATAAAAGAGGCTCTTAAAATAATATACTACCTGCACATCCAAAAACAAATAGACGGGAGATATTTATCTAGCATAGCATTTCACAGAAAATGCATCAGTTAAGAAACGTATACAGAACTACATGAGGGCTTATATGGTAGACACAAATAAGGTGTTGCCTGCAGCAAGATGCACATAGTCCACAGGGAATAACAAAGGTTTGGAAGAATATCAAGTGAAAAGATGATGAAGAATCAAAATTAAATGGAATGAATCAAAAAAAATGATTCAAAAAGTACAGGAAGTTATGATAAGCCCAACCTATTCTGATACTGACAGAAACCTTCAAAATCTCCATTTTAGTTTTTGGCTGAAGAAAACGAAACAGATTCCATCACACTAAATATTTTACGTCTAACCCTCAGCAGAAAGAATGTATATACTTCAAGCATCAATCAGATCAGCATAGTAAAACCGACATCATAACTAGCTTTATCCTAACTATTTAGCATCAGTTATATTAACTCTCATTTTCCGTTCTTTCTTGTTGAATGATACTTGAAATATTAAAATTATACCTCATGGATCAATTGAAACATCTTCTATCCAAGTTTACATTTATTCCTTAAATTCATTTAAGAAAAATTCTATCCACCTCTGCTCATACATAATCCTCAAAAACTAAATTTAACTATCTGCCAAATAAGTGCGTTTACTGACCATTATTTTACGCATCTATTTTAAATTTCCTTATCTTAAATTAATGTCATTCAAACCAATTCTTTAGTATATCCATTTCTTAATTTTCCCTTCATAGTTTTTTCAAACATTCATCTAAGCATGTTAATCATTAAAGTTACACAAAAACCTGATAAGATAATGCATCCAACCTAAATTCAATGGTAACCTAAGATTGAAATATGTGGAAGTGGTAATTTTTTATAGTTGGTTTGATAAGCCAGTTTGTACATTAAACCAGCAAGTTATGACACATGAAGAACAAAAATTTGCAAGCAAATTCCAGGTTGCCCCATGCAATAGCTGTAGAAATGATTCCTCAACAAGAACTATTTGAAATAGTATGTCATACACCATTGTTACGATCCGGAACAAAAAATCAGCGAACAAACAGCGACGAAATTGTAACAGAGGTGGAAAAAACTCAAAAGTGGCTGTTCTTACAAAAATCAAAAGAAAACAAGTAAGATATAGCTATGGTCTACTGTTTGAGAGGTAGATTGTCTCTCCACACCCTAAACACCGCTAGGAACACCATAGAAAAAAAGATAACAGTCAAAACATGCATGAAAACAAACCCTGGCCCCTTCTCCTCCCAAATACATCCCCTAGATTGTTTCCAAACTTTTTCCCTGCAAATCCCCCTTAACTCCTTTCCTTCTATACGTGAGCAACGGCTTTGTCACTTCCGCCTGGGCGCTGGAATTGTGCCCCGTATCGAGCAACACAATCGTTCCACTTGGACCGGCCAACCAGTGACTTTGCTTTGGTAGTTTGGCTTGGGTTGGCCGGTCAGACAGGTCCTCCCTGGACCGGTTCTGTTAAAGCAGCGGAGGGAGACGTAACAACAATCTTCCGAAATAAAAACATACAGAAAACAAAATTCCAAATTATGAAACGATGTTTCTTGTAAGGGAAAAAAGTTGCGTTTGATTAAAGCAGAATATTGTCTCTTACTAAAACAGCTGACCTTATATGATTAAAGCAGAATACTAGCCTAAAAGAAGAGGTTGAAAAAAAAAACTGACCTGATATGTATTAGGATCAATGTCAAAAACTTTGGTGGGGCTGCTTTCAATCCAACTTCTTTTCTCATCGAGCGTTAGGGTTTCCATCAGTTCTTCATTAATATGAATCTCTGGTTCATACATAAATGTTACAGTGGCAGCAGGTGACCATTTTGCATGATCCTTACCAATTCCCTTTCTTGCAATTGCCCTTAATCTCAGTTCTTGTCCACGTCGCAACTTTACAATGATTATGCCCCTACAGTCACCATTTATCATAATGAAATCTTGAAAATAGAAACATAGGAGAGCAGGACTTTAAATTCAAAAAATGAAGTATGATAGGATGGTGTAGGCTAAACAAAACTAACATTGCAAGCTGACCAAAAAAGAAGAATAGTTAAATTTCAATATTAAGACAAATTCAGTCAGGCAAATACTTGAAGAAGAATTTAGATAGCTGTTTTTGATCCAAACATTAAAAAACCAAGCAAATTTAGGACTGGTTATTTTCCCAAAATGTATGTGATTTTGCATGATATACAGGTTATTGAAATTTTCATAAGGTTGTGAGAGAATTCAAAAGTGTGCAGGAACTTCCCCGAGATGAAGAAAATAAGTTGAGGTCCAAATAAGCATTAAAAACTCTCTACAAATCTCCATGTCGTTCAGAACATTAGAGAGAATAAGTGGAATTTTTTTAAAACGTTTAAATTGAGAGGTCATCTTGAAATTTATGAGAAATTCATATTTTGATGCAATTAAATTAAAATTGAATTTGAAGATGTTATTAGGATATTATTTTCAAATTTGAAACAAAAAAAATAACTCCTCCGCTATTCTCTCTCCATAGCAAAATTATTCCTTCTTGAATTCCTGTGACTACCTCTATCTCGATAAGAATCAAGTGATTAAAGCTTTAATTATTTCATATAATTTTGTTGTGGGCCACTTTGTCTAATTCAGCCATCATTGAGCCCAGATCACTGCACAAGCTACAACTTCTTACTAAAGCAAAAACAACAAAGCCTTAATCCCACTACGTGGGGTTGGCTACATAAATCATTTTTCTCCATGAAGTCCTATTTAGTGTCATATTTTCATTTAGTTCTAATAAATTAAGATCATTTTTTTATACAATAAGCCCAGTCTTCCTAGGTCTACCTCTTCTTCCTAGGTCTACTTCCTAGGTCTACCTCTTCCTTTGTTAACATAAGTCTAATATAAAATATTTATTCTCCTAATCGGATGATCAGGCGGTCGATGTTTAATGTATAACTGTTGATGAAGATGAAATTATTAGAAATAACCTACAGTTATCTATACTTGCTGATTTAATTTGACCATTCACGCAACATGATTCACCCAAATGTACAAGGATTTGAAATTGATATTATGATAGTCAAGTATGAAAAAGAATATTGTTGAATATGTCCCTCAATGCAAAACTTATCAGATTGTAAAGAAAACAACATCAGAGACCCGACGGATTGCTACAACATTGTCGATATTAAATGAAAATGAGAAGAAATTGCTATAAATTTTGTTATGGGATTTTTTTAATCCAGGCAGGGTTACGACAGTATTTGGGTTATTATTGACAAGCTAACAAAATCAGCTCACTTCTTGTCAATAGGCAGGCAGATTCAGTTGAAAAGTTGGTCAAAGTATATGTCAAAAATTTTATCAGATTACACGAAATTCCAAAAGTCATTGTTTCTAACAGAGATAGAAGATTCAAGTCCATGTTGTGGAAATACATTCAACAATATTTGGGTGTGGAGTTACATTTAGCACGGTATTTCATCCACAAAGTAACAATCAATCAGAAATGACAATTCAGGTACTGGAAGATCTGTCAAGACTTTGAGTTCTCAACTTTGGAGGCAGTTGGGTCCAATGATTGAATTCGCCCACAATAATAGCTATCAGTCCAGTATCAAAATGGCTATTTGTGAAGCACTGTATGGCAAAAAATGTAGAATTTCATTTAGTTGGGCCAAAGCAGGTGAACCTCAAATTCTACTTCCTGAGTTAGTTGATGAAGCTACAAAGACGATTAGATTAATCATAGAAAAATTAAAAGTGGCTTATGATCGACAACAAAAAGATTATGAAAGCATAAAGCAATATGGTGATTTTGTATTTTTAAAAGGAGGCCGGCCAATGAAAGGTACAGCTAGATTTGGTCAGGGAAACAAGTTGAGTCTAAGGTATATCTGTCTTTCTGAAATTATAGAAAGGATTGGGGAAGTTTCTTACAGGCTAGTTTTACCTGCTGATATGTAATAAATACATAAAGTTTCAATGTTGAGAAAATGTGTTGCAAACTCAGACTAGAAGATTTCAAATGAAGACATTTAAGTACAGAAAAATATAACTCATATTGAAGAGTCTTTGATAATTTTAGACGTAGATGATACAAAGTTGAGGAACAGATAAATTCTTTTCCTCAAGAAAAAACGGAAGCACGGGCTTGAAAAGGAAGTTACATGAAAAAAAAAAGTAAATGTAACATAAATATTTTTTTCTGCTCAAGTTAGAAATTTTACAACAACAACAACAACAAAGCCTTAATCCCACTACGTGGGGTCAAGTTAGAAATTTTAAGGATGAAATTTTTATAAAGGAGAGTTGTAAAACCCAAAATTTGAGAAATCAGGTAAAGATTTTTTTGCATTTAAAATGTACCCAAAATTTTGCATCCTTCAAAATTTAATCAAAGTAATTTTATAAAATTTTACATGTTGAATTGATCAATTCAATATAAAACACAATAGATAAATTATGAATGAAATGAGAGATATAAAATTTATAAGATATTGAGTTAATTAACTTTAATTAAACCTTAATTAAATCAATACTTCCTAATTATTCTCCCTCGGAACTATTCCCTACTGAATATCACGCACTTTCTCGCACATGTTATGGTCTGATGAGATCAAGCAGCTAAGAGTTAAGGGGAGTTCATTTAAATGCCGCATTTCCTTATTTTTTTTCCTTTCCCTCACTCGCCTTCATACTCTCGATACCTTTCCTCACGCAAAGGCTGCAATCAGTATATTGTAGTAGTGGGAGTTGCGCGACCTACAGAATGCTACAACTGACATTTCAGGGCTCCAAGGGGATTTTTGTAAGTTGGAAACTCACTTTAGTGATATTCGAGACATTCTTTTCCTTCCTCTTGTTTCCAATTTAATAATTACCACGAATTTGCGCATTTTTTCCGTTTCTAGTAGCCGTAACGGAGACGAAATTGTCGATGGCGACAAAATTGAATTGTAGGCTTCCGCGTAAGAGCTTTTAGCATGAAATTAGTGAAGGAAATGGAGGATTAAGGGAATAAGAAGAAGATGGAAGAAGAAAAGGATGGATCGGCGAACGGTTGGTTATGTTGAAAAGCCAATTTGACGTAAGAATTCGTAAATAGGTTATGTTGGGTTAAATCTCAAGATGAGCCAAATTTTCATAAACTCTTATGATGTTTACGATTTTCAAGTTGTTTACACGAGGCGGCGATCTTGAGGCGAGCATATGAAAACTCGTCGTGGAGTTATTTCATAAAGTCAAGTGAAATAATCTTGTGTTAACATAAGAAAAATAAAATCTATAGGTTTATATTTGATTTCATATTTGACATTGATGTATTTAGATATTATTGCATATTGTGGATGAATACACACAATGAATGTATAAAAGAAAATTAATTTTTCCTTTATGATATATGTGATTTGATTATGTTATAAATCTGATAAATGTGTATGAAATTATTTTCTGCAGGTATTTATTTGTAATGATTCATATCTATGATATATGAAATATCTTATGAATGTTTATTACAAAAATTATAATTTATGAAATGTCACAATTGTTATTATAATTAAATTGTTATATGAGTACTTGCAAGTATAGATATTAATATGGGAATCTGACTTATGGTATTCAAACGGTAGCGAAAATCTAGGAACTGTTGAGATTAGATTGTGACAAAATGTATAGACCATTGGTACCAAGGAGGCTATTGATAACTGCTATATTGGGAGGGGGAAACTTTTATCAATAGTTGATGTAGTTTTCGGGCTAGTTAGCAACCCAACAGCAAACATGATATGATGAAGTCTATAAAATTACACGTGACATTATTATGATTAGATTGATGGCTCTTATGAACATGCTTATGATTATATGTTTACAATACACATAAATGAATAAAATACATGTTTTATCTAGCAGTGATCATTTTCTACACTATATGCTTTTTTTTTACATGTGTTATATAATTTTAGCAAGTTATGACTTGTGAGTGGACATATACAGTTGCATTTGACCATGCACCTTATTTTTCTTTAAATATAAATCTTATTTTAGCATTAATTATTTTGTTGAGATTGTTGTTTCTCGTTCTACATTATTGTCTTTAGAGAAGGGGAAAGGAGCACCAAGGCGAGTAGCCAAGTGCGACTTGTACAATTCTTGCATTTCATAATTTTGGGAGTTTGTATAGTCTTTTGGATATGTATTTTATTTATATTGAATTTAACAATTCTATGTAGATATGTATGTTTTGATCTTATGATTTACACACTTAAGAGTACATGCATATGAATGAATTATGAAATGAAATGTATATGTATGTTTGCAGTGATTTAGTTAGACTAGTTTATCACCCACTATGTCTTGATTTTGCAAGTCAGGACGAGCGTTGGTGATAATTTAGTCTGATTGAATCGTTTGCATCAATCACACCTCAGTCTACCATTAAGAGGAGCTAGTTGGGGTTGACACAATGTCAGTGATTTTATTCATGTAACTCATTTTTTGACATATATAAAAAAAATTTGTTAAATTATTTATAAAATGTATTTAAAATTGCTTATAAAACATATAAAACTTTTGTTTACATGTGTGTGTAGGTCACCAAAACTCTTATGAATATTGGATAACCGTGTCGACGACCTACAAAGTTATGATTATCATTACATTTCCTTAAATTGATGACATTGATATATGGTTTCTAAATGATGAATAGGAATTGATACAAGGATTATAGTGTTTGTGAGGGTAGAAATGATAGAATAACATGAAATATTGTCATCCCACCATTATGACACTCTTATAAAATAATTTCATTCTAAGTGAACTCCTAAGAATGCACAATCAATTCTAAAAGAACAGATAACTCTTGCACTTGTAATACTAACTGCATGGCATATCTTGATAAAAAGCCCAAATCTCACAGAAGACCTTATCACACAACAACAACAACAAGCCTTTATCCCACTAAGTGGGGCAATTATATCCAAATTTTATGCAACTCAAAACCAACTATGTTTGACTGTAAAGTAGTGATCAACAAATGGCGGAGGCTCAAAACATTGGCTATCATATTCTAAACTTCAGCTTTGTACTTGAGCATAAAATCAAAGGAAGAAAGGAACTCTATCAGAAAGGTATATCTGTCCTTTCACTTATTCAATTTGTTCAAAAATCTCAGTGCTTCATATTCAGTGTAGAGAATGAACACATTGGCTAATAGATAATAACTCTACTTGTTGAGGACTCTCGTGATGGGATACAACTCCTTATTGTAGCTGGAAGATTTTTGCTTTGAGTCATTTAGCTTCTCACTAAATAAACTTGTGATGAAGTGTCTAAATTGACCGAGCACAACTCCAATCCTCAAATTAAAAATATAACACTCCATCGAAAACACCAAATTGAAATCTGATAAGGCTTGAATAAAGACTTGAATAAGTTGTTGCTTTAGTGCATCAAAAATAGCTTGTCTCATTTGACCATAAAAAACATGTCCACCTTTAGGAACTTTATAAGTGATGTTGCAATGGATTTGAAATTTTGCATAAGCCTCCTGTAGAATAAAGTCAACTTATGAAATTGACACACTTGAGTGAGAGAATGTGGGATGGGTCTGTGTACAACAAACTTAATCTTGGGTGAGTTCATCTCAATGATGGTTGTTGAAATAATGTATACTAGAAAGTATGTCTATGACATAAAAAAGTTACATTGCTTTGGATGGTCATACAAAATCTCTATCCAAAAAAATACAAAACCTACTTCAAATACTACAAATGATCCTCTATAGAATGGTTGTACACCATAATGTCATTAAAATAAATAATCGTGAATTTCTCGATAAATTCTGAAAAAATCTAACTCATCAACTGCATAAAAATATTCAAGGCATTAATCAAGCTTAAAGATATTTGGCTTGACTGTCCATTCATACAATCCATCATGAATCTTAAATGTTGTCGTTTTCTTGTTCTTGAGTTTGATCCAAATCTAATAGTAGTCTTTACCTAATCACTCATCGCACCAAATTCCTTCAAAAGCAAAAAAAGAATGTGCTTGTAATATTTGGTGAACAAGTAGGTATTCTTAATGTCATCATGAGGCATGTTCCTAACATACTATGAAGATAGACTTCATATAATATGATAAAAATTTACAAACACAATATCACTCTACATCAACTGTTGTAACTTCTCTCCAACAAAATACTCCACAAAGCACATCTTATCAACATGGATCTTGCCTCCTTTCTTCAACCACATCAAAGAATATGGCTGGAAATATTTATGGGAAGTTAGACTCATTCTGTTTGTCATTTTCGTAAACACGACATTTTCACAACTACCTACATCAATGATGAGTTTACATAGCTTCCCCTCCACAATGCAATGAGTACGAAAGACATTGTGCCAGAGCCATTGTTGCTCTCTTAAGCCAGGTTCGGAGAACTTGTCAAACCATAAGCATCTCCCCGTCGAGTTGATACTCATCCTCATTTTTGTACTCTCCTAAATCTCCATTGTCTACCTATTCAACCGCTACCTACTTAATAAGAAAATCACTCTTTTGTCTGAGTATTTGAAGGTAACGTGTCCATTGAAGCACTTTTTGGATGAAAAAAATCTTGAGGTTGCTGACTCTTGGGATAGTTTCTCCTCATGTGAGGCAAGTTTTAGAAAGGGTGCCATTGCTACCTAATTTCATAGTCAAGCCACACTTGAAGAGTGTGCTAGACCTAATATTATTGAAGTGATTCTCCACCATGAATTGGTATGGTTGTAAATGTACCACATTGCCAATAAATTATCTTCAACTCTCCTAGATATCACGCCGCTGTTTTTGTCTAACTCTTATAACACATTTTAACATGTGTTATCCAAATTCAATGTTGTACACCTCTCCGGACAAGTCTCTCTCTTGCAATATCAACAAGATTTTTTTCTGTAGTGTTGAAAAAATACTTGTGTTCAATCTCCCTCTTCATATTAGATCATATAATGAGCTTGGTTTTCCATTCACATAGGCCTAAGTGTTTCATATTTTTCTACCACAGAGAAGTACTCTTCATAAACTTGATAGCTACCAACTTGACTTTTCTATAAGGTAATATGTCTTTGTATTTAAAAATATATTTCATAGTTTGGAGCCATTTAATAAACCTATCCAGATCTATACAGCTATAAAAATCCAATAACTCAAATTTTCACTCCAAATTTATTCTCTCTTCTCCAATGCTTAATGCCACATGAACAAAATAGTTGGTTCTTCATCACTTGAAACTTCCTGATAGAAAAAATTTCTTTCTCATCTCCATCTCATCAATCAACATTAATTCGATTGATGATTTCCCCATGTTGTCCTTTCAAAATTAGTAAGCCTGCAGTAAAGTTTAGAGATTTTTTATTGTATATACATCATGATAAGCTCTTGAATACCTTTTTGAGAATTTTTTATTGTATATACACCAGAGTAATAACTAGACCACTTGAAGGAGAAATTTTACTAAGAAAAAATATTGAACAATCTCCAGAATAGCATAAGCCAAAGCCAAAAGTACTTCGCAACATGGCTAAAGCAAATATTTATACTAAGAAAAACAAAAGAAGCCCTAATTCTAATCTAAACGTAGAAATTAGAAGCTCTAAAGAGGGCCGCCCAATGGGTGGAAACAAACCCCGAACTGGCCCTAGCTTTTGAACCGCCCAGGTACATGCAGGCAAGAGGACCGCCCAGGTACATGCCTGCATCAGTTGGTGTTTACTTTCTAGTTTTACGGTACAACAAGAACAACAACAAAACATTTATCCCACTAAGTGGGGTCGGATACATGAATCATTTTTCTCCATTTAGTCCTATTTAGTGTCATTCTTTAATTTAATTCTAATAAATTAAGATCATTTTTTTATACAATTTGCCCAAGTTTTCCTAGGTCTACCTCTGCCTTTCTTAACAGAAGTCGAATCTAAAACATCTACTCCTCTAATAGGATCATCAGATGGTTAAAATTTAATGTGACCAAACCATCTAAGATGACTCTCTCTAATTTTTTTCGTCACTGGAGCTACACCAACCCTATCATGGATATATCTCTAACTTTCTGGTTTTAAGGTGTCTTCATATATATGCCATGAAATGATAAATGATATTAGAGGCATATTTCAAAAGGTATGAGCATATTTGATGTAACAGCATATGAATAGTAGTACAAAAGTGTACCGATCACAATATTCATTTTAATGGTCATAAACAACATCATACTAAAAAACATCTTCTAATAAGGAACATCTTTTGTTTATGCAAGTTTATCATGATGATATGATGCCACTTAATATCACATGCTACATTATAATTTTTGTTCTTTTATTATTCATATTGGATAATCCAAAGTCTTGTCATTTACATATTAATAAATAGTAGTGGTTTGCTAGATTTAACTCATTAAACTCGTTTATTGTTTTTTTTTTATTATTATAGTAGATTCTATTAGATCACTTAACAAAACAACTCCATATTAATCTACAAGTATACTAATCACAATATACATATCAATGATCATACAAAACGCCATATTAAAAATTATCTTATAATATGGAATACTTCTTATTTATACAATGTCACCTTAACCTGAAGATGTGATACCACGTAAAATTTGATGTTATATTTTAATTCTTGCTCATTTATTTTTTATAATGCATGCTCCAAATATTGTCATTTACAGTTCAATAAATAATAATTATTTGTTAGGTTTGATTTATCAAACTCACTCACATTAATTTTTTCTATAACAGACTACTCAATCACTTGATAAACCATCCCCATAAGAGGAATTTTTTTGGCAATGAAATCTCACGCGATAGGGTGCAAATAAACCAAGCATTTGATAAATTACACATGGCTTGACTTGATTAAAGCTCATTCACGATTGCTTAATTGACTAATCGAAAAAACATAAACATTTTTATAAATACCCAATTGCTAAATGAATAAACTTGAACAATTTTTTATTTGTTTCATTTCAATTTATGAATAGTATTATTCAAAACTCATGAGCAACTATTTGATTCATTTATATATGAATCGTATTATTCAACATTAACAAGCTCATTAAACTGCTAAATAAGGCTCATTTGCAAATATTATTATTTAAAAAATTAATTTTAAACTCATTAAAACTTATTTCATACAACTTGTTTATTTATCTTAATAGTTACACATAAATAGACTCAATTAAGTCTCATTTATTTTTTTAAAGGTGAGCTCGAATCGAATACAAGCCAATCTTGAAAAGGTTTTTTATAAACATACTTGAGCTCAAACACAATCCAACAAACTCAAATCGAGCTTGAGCTAATCTTGAACAAAATGTTGATAAATGAGCTCAAACTCAAACAAACATGAACCACCAACTCAACTTGGCTCGGTTTGTTTGCAAACCTATTATTCTGCATTATAAATGCATGTATTTCTATTCGTGCCTTTGTTGAATCTTAGATAGTTTCATTTTCATAGTTCTTTTTAAATTTTTTTCCATCAAATGTTGTCTCATTTTCTTGTTGAATTGTTATTATAAATTATAGTGATTAGATGATATATCATTTACCTTACTTGCTTACTCTTCTTCTTTATATTGCTTGTATATGAATTTTTCTTTGCGATTACAAAATAATTTTTTATATCCCTTAAATACATTTCATCTTGTATAGATGTTTAGCCGTCCAAACATAGGTGTGGCATATCAACAGCTCTCAAACCCACACTAGGTGGTGCTATGCATGTTCACCATTTTTGCATATAGAGGTGTAGGATTTACTGCATTTTGCAATAAAAAGAAAAGCAACAAATAAATCGGAAAGAGTAGTCGAATCTAACCTCTGGTCTTGAGAATCAAAGTCGCCAGTTTCAGAGGCGAGGGTGCGGGCGGCAACGTCGACTGGAACGACCCTGGGCTCCGTGCTGCGAAGGTCGTTGCTCGTTACATCGAGGGTCTGGTCGGAGTCGCAGCGGACGTTAAGATGGAACTCAACAGAGCAATACTCGCATTGGCCATCGCCATCACACGCATCGCAATCTCGAGAGAAGCGCATTCCCATGGCGTCATCACTCACGAGGGGAATGAGCCCGAGGCGGTGGGCAATGAACTCATCGTTCAGGACAGATGAGTTGGCCTCGATCTCTACCAAATCAATCGCAATCGTCGGTACTTCGGCTATCATTACGCGCCGGAGGGCGTTCGCCATGCTTGCATCAGTTTCCTGGAGTTCAAACTTCATGTAGTCGTCCTTCATCTCACGTATTTTGACCTTAGGGAATCGCTGATACGAGACGCCTTCCATTATCGCCGGAGCCGGCGATCGTAAGCGCACAAAAGAGGATTTGGTCGGACAGCTTTTCAGCGGCGCCGAAAGGGCGAGGAGATTATGTTGTATAGGGCAAACCAGTAGGCGCCTAAACTGCTCATTCCCACCAACTCTCTTTAGCGTAATTAATTTGTGATTTTATTAAAAGTCCCATTAATATAGTATATCACATGAAAATTTGTCTTTTCTTCAGCCTAGCACATCTCCTACATTATAATAACTAGTGTCACACATAATCTCAAAATCATACACCCAATCAGATGCCACAATAATAGGTGTTATGAATAGTTTTCCCTTTAACAATTCAAAGGCTACTAGAAACTCATTATAAAAAATAAAGAGCATATCCTTCTAGAGTAGGTGACACAATGGTTTGAAAATTTTAATGAAGACCTTTATAAATTTATAATAGAATTCTACATGCTCTAAGAAACCATCTAATCTCTTTATAAATAAAGGTAGGGGTAGTTTTTCTATCACTTAAATTTTTACCTGATCCACCTCTATTCCCCTCATATAAAATTTTTGTCCTAGAATTATGCCTTTAGTGACCGTGAATTAGTTTAGCACAAGATGAGTTCTTTTGCATCTTTGCAAAACTCTAGCTAGATGTTCCAAACATATCAAAGGAAGTGATAAACACAAAATAAAGATCATTCATGAATATCTCAATCCCCTTCTCAATAAGATTTAAAATTATAGATATCATGCATCTCTGAAACGTGGCAGGGACATTGAATTGTCTAAAGGGCGTCCTCCTGAAAGCAAATGTATCGTAAGGACTACTGAAAGAGGTTTTATCTTGGCCTTTTAGTGTTATTGGAAGTTGGATGTATTTAGAATATTCGTCTAGAAGCAAAAATAAGAATGCCTACCAATCTACCTAGCTTTTTGGTCCAAAAAAAGATAAGAAAAATAATCCTTTTTAGCACGTTTATTCAACGTCACATGTTCAATACAAATCCTAAACTTTGATACTTCTAGTGGGTATAAGTTTATTCTTTTTTTCATTACTGCAATCACTTTTTTCTTTGGAATATAGTTGATTGGATTGCCCAGGCACCATTCGATATGTGATGTATAATGTCTGCATCTAGCTATTTCACAATCTACATCTTCACTACTTACTTTATAAATAGGTTAAGCCTCCTTTGTGGATCGTCCTTCAACTCATGATTCTCTTCCATTAAAATTTATGCATGCATATGGAAGGCTTTGATATCTATTATGCTCTAATCAAAAGCTTCTCTAAAACTCCTTAAAAATCTCATTAACATTGCCTCTTGTAATTCACCCAAGTCGGCATAAATGATTATTGAAAAAGTTGAAAATTTTTCTAAAAATGCATACTTCAAGTGCTTAAGGAGAATCTTAAGTTCTAATTTAGGGGCCTCAACTATAAAAAGTAATAAAATTTTGGATCAGTTAAGGTATCTAATAGCTTAAATTTATTTATGATCTCTCTAGGGATCAAATCCAATACTCGAGCTGATTCTTCATTAGAATTTTCACAACTATCTTTAGTTAAAGCATGCACTAATCACCAAAATTTCCTTAAATTGATTTTTCATGCGCCCATCTATCACATCTATTCTATGGCATGTGTCATCCCCAGGGTCTTGGAGAAACTTCATTGATTTTAAAATATTAAAGTACCCTCCTGATCAATAAATCTCTTGGTAAGTTCCTTTTTTTGAACATCAATCATGATCCTTCCAATTGCTAAGAAATGTATACCTAGTATGGTTGGAATTTTCTTATCATCTTCTATATTTACTATAAAATTAATTGAGAAGATAAATTTATCCACCATAGAGAACACATCCTTTATGCCCCTCCTTGGATTAGACAAAGAATTGACAATTAATTAAAAGGTTACAGTGGTAGGTTGAACATCTCTTAATTCTAGTCCCTTAAAGATTGATAACTTAATGAGATTTATGTTGGCGTCTAAGTTGCATAATACTCTTCCAAAGAACTTATATCTTATGGTGCAGGGAATGGTGAAGCTACTAGAATCCTTATGTTTTTTTGAAAGCTTTTTTTTTTGTAAGATGGCATTACATTCTTCAATTAAAGTCATAGTCCCATAATCACCAACTTTATGCTTTTTATTAAGGACTTCCTTGATAAACTCAACATAACTAGACATTTATCTTAAAGTTTATGCAAATGAGACATTTTATGACCAATTTTTTGAAAACTTCTAAAAATTTGGAAAAGCAGTAGTATGAATTATGTTTATGAAATCGTTAGAGAAAATGTATGGTTGGTCTTTCTAGTTCCTTCCACGGAGGAGGGCTGTTTAGCCTAATTTTTGTGAAGATTTTTTGCTAGTTATTTCAAGCACAAACGTCACCTCTTCTCTAGGCTTTCCATAATTTGCTCTTCTAACTCCTTACCAGGTTTGGATTGGTCTTTTCCTTTTTTCCCTTGGGATTCACTTTGACATTACTAGATAAAGTCCATGTTGTCTATTATGAAATAAATTTGTTAATTATGCCAATTAATTTGCAATGTTTCTTTTAACTGTAGTTTTAATTTATAAGTTATTCTCATAATTAACACAAATTTTGTTAATTATAATTTTTTTTCTCTTTTAATATTGGATTCAAAGTGAATCTGAGAGGGTAAGTTTGTCTCAGGTTAATGTCATTTCTTTAGTTGTTTAAACTACTTATATGGTTTGTTGATTGTTACTCTATTGTTGATTTCTATAATTTCAGTTATTATTATATTTAAAATTAAGGGGATTCTTCAAACCAGGATTATAGGTATTTGAAATGGGGTTATTAGGTCTATTATTAATAACATTCAATGACTCCTCAACACTAGAATCAACTAACTATCCATATGAATTTTCTAGTATAACTAGGATCAGGGTACATAATTCAAGCCTAAGTTATCTATTTTATTTGATATCGCAGCTACTTGTGAAGCCAAAATTGTCAATACATCATGTTCATGAATTATCGATTACTCTCTTAGAGTTGACTCTCAAAAGGCCTATAAAAATTGCTCTTGTCATCACTTCAATAAAAGCATAAGTCTTTTTAAAAGGTTTTGACCTTAATGATATTTCTACTACAACATCTATTATAGAACTTAACAATCCCACTAACCCATTATAAAAATTTGAATGCTTAAACAATCAGATAAAACATGATGTGGGCATTTCATAAGCAACTTCATGTACCTCTCTCATGCTTCATAAATTTTTTCACTATCCAATTGGGCAAAATTTGTTTTTTCATTTATCATTCGAGCCATTTTGGAAGGAGGAAAGAATTCGACTAGAAATTTATATGCTAAGCCATTCCATATATATATAGAATTTGGTGTTAAAGGAATTGAGCCACATTTTAGCCTTGTCTCTAAGGAAAAAACGAAGCAACCTAAGTCTAATAACATCACCATAGATATCATTATACCTAAAAGTCACATATAATTTTAAGAAATTAGCTAAGAGTAAGTTTGTTTCTTTTATATGTGAACTTCAAAATTGATTGTTTTGGATCATTTGAATTATGGCACGTGTGAGTTCAAATGTATTATATTATATGATAGGGTTATTAATACTATGGTGAATTTCTCCTACAAAAGGATTAATAAAATCCCTAGTGGTCTAAGGTTTCCTTCCTACTGGTTCTCCATTTCTCTTAAATATTTTTTTAACTTTTCTAAATTTTCTAAAGTTTTCTGTCATTTTTTTCTTATTTCATGGTCAAATGGCACTAGTTCAAAAGATTGAGTTCTGCATATGCACACCTAGGACAACAGGTGACCCTAAAATAACAATAAACTATAATAAACAAGATACAATTCAAAAAACAAAATAAAGCAAATAACACAAATATAAATTCAAAATATTTTTAGGATTATAAGTAATATAAATAATAGCATAGATAATATAAAACGCATAATAAAACATAAAACTCAACAACACTATAGGTTCCAAACCTAAACTTAAAAAATTTTCAACTAAAATTCACTTAAATTAAAAAGTTAACATCACTCCCCATCAACTACATTAAAAACTTGATCTACTCTACATTGATGCAGATGTCAATCAGACAATTCATCATGTCAATCAAGTATTATATGGATTATGAGTTTATGTGTTAATACCACAGAGAACGAGTTAACCTTTAAAAAGGGAAATTTTTAGTTTACTAATTCATATGTATAAAATGAAAAGAGGAGTTTTTTGAAGAGTTTCTATGCTCTTAATTTTGCTAAAGGCTAGTCTAATTATGATTTTGGATTATCTAATTGATAGATATGCTTCATTGAACTGGATCATGTGATTCTTCAATGTTCTTCCAATGAATTTCCTCTACCTAATATTGATAATCATAGTAATTTATTTCTTACTCTATTCCTAGACATAAGAAGAATTGAAACCTCTTATAATGATTAAGTTCACTTAACCCTCTCGCAGGAATCCTCAAGTCACATATTTGATTGTAATCTCCTAATTATAATATTCTTATTCTATTAAGTGATTCAGACAATCAATAGTTCTTGATCATAAGCATTTTCAACTTTTCAAGTAAACGAGTTAAAATTAAATTATGTTAAAAAAGTTAACACATCAATATACAATAAATCATTGTATCATCACATTACCAAATCAAAGAGGATAAGAACTTAGTTCCTAAACATTCTAAGAGAAAACATTAGAGAATTATTTGATAGAAAATTAAGGTTTACAAATGTAAAGGAAAGATAAAAGTAGGATTCAAAATCCTCTTGAACTAGGCCAACTCTCCTTCTACAAGTGTTGTTCCCCTTGAATTCCTCTCCATTTTCTCAACACAAACTAAAACTCACACACTCATACACACAATCACTAAGTGAGAGAGCCTAGAAAACTTGATAATAACACACATCCATATCCATCAAAATCCCTCATTTTAAGCCTTCTACTTGCTCAAATCATCTCAAAATTCTAGCAATTATCAAAGAAGGTGTGAGATGCCTAGGCGCTAAATGGCGGAGTCAAGTTTTCAGGTTGGGTATGTGGGCTTGAAATCAGGTTTCTACTTCATCTATCCTTAGAGTCTGAAGTAATAATGGATGGGGTGTCAAGGCAGTTAGCTATGGTGTTGGGTTTCTGCCTCTTCTATT